TTGTAACATAAAGCTTCTATCTAAAGTAAAAAGTGAAAATTAAAAAGTTAAACTAAAAACAAACCCTGCAGTAATAGGTTAAATGAATACCATGCAACAATTATTTTCAATTTATGTTTATGGTACCAACACTTTACAAAGAACAAACTAAGTCATCCATTTTCAATGCCTAAAACTCAAATCTTACTTAATTTTATGGAAACAAGCTCTGGGATCCAACTCTCTCTGTTCTCTTCCCACTTTAATTTATATCAGGGAGGCAGCATATGGTGGAGGACAGCCAAAGGCCTGTAAGTCACCTCTGCAGAGATGGTTTCAATGGCAACACACTGAAATCCAGTCTAGAAAATGGATGCAATAATTCTCATCACTTCTCTACTTCAAAGAGGGCTGGAAGGATTAAAGAGTTAGTGCTCCAAATTCAAATTCACATTTTCTTCCAAACCTCAGCAGAATTCTTTGTCATCCCCAAAGAGATGATCTGAGTGAGAAGTGCCATTAAGGAAATAGTATCACACTCAGAAGAGCTCCAGAGGGATTCAGAAGAGCTCTGGCAGAAGTTCCGGGCTAGATATAAACTCAGCGCAGTGCTCATAAAGCACGTTGAAATTCTCAAGTGATAGGCACTACATGGGAACAAATCATTCTTAATTTAAGAGATAAACATGCCATATCCAGAACTAATAATGAAGGGGCCAGAATAAATATAAGACTATAATGATTATGGTCGTTTATCCTAAATCTGGCTCAGTCTTTCTGTGACAGCTGGAAATATTATGATAATTGTCTACCCTGTGCTATACAATGCTGGTAATGTTCAAGGTCTCCAATGCTGCTCTGGTTGTCTCTAAAACAACAGCAGACTGAGCAAGATTGATCAGTCTGCATTGACCCAACACTCTTTTAGCACCTAGGGAAATATGCCATTCATCAGCTTTAGCAATTAGGAATTAGTTGTGTGATTTCCAACCTAAACTCTTGCTCCACACCTTTCCTTAAGTAGACACTCCAGGGACAACTTTTGTACACAGTACCAGGTCACCAGTGTTCACTGTCAGAGAGCACACTCTCTGTACCTTTGAGAATAATGAATTCTGCAAGGAGAGAAAAATGCCAACCCATTTTTTGACAATTTTGCCATGTAATATTTTTTAGGAATGTCATTTTCTCTTCATACCAAGTTTATATTTCAGAGGGAAAGTGCTATAAAAGATGATTTGTTCATCATAAAATCTTGAAAATATAAAGTGTTTAAAGAATAAAATCATCTCAATAAATTGCATTCATATTATGAAATCTTTTAATATTTGTAGCCTAAGACAATTTATTTTCTGGACTAATTGCAACAATAGGAAGTATATATGGGCAAATCAATGGCATTGGTGCTGATTTATATCAATCTGCTCATTAGTAGTTTAGATATATATAGTCCATATTCCACCTTTCAATGCATCTAATCTACTCTACTATTCTATTCTTATTCATTCTACAATTTTAACAGTGACTTTCTGAAATCTATATGCTCCATTTCGACAGCAATTGCTCTCTACAAACTGAGTCATCGTAGTGAACAGAAATTTGTTGAGTTTAATAGAGGTGGCTTTCAGTTCTTGATGTGGTGTGCTTATTGACAATGAGTTATTTGCTAAAGGTTCTCTCTCGAAATTTATTTGATTCACTCATTCTGGAATCTGTTGGCTATTGAAGGCAGATTAGGCCTGACAATGTATCTAATGTCCACTTCCTGACTGGTTCCAAAACAGGAGAGTTTTCTTTTCTCCTTTCAGTGTTCGTTTTTGCCTGCCTTCTCCCCCACCCCTGTTTCTCCTACCCTTTCTATTTCCTTAACAACTTAAAAGTATAAATTTAAATTTAACTCTGTCAACTCCAGACCTTTCCAGTAGATTCATGTCTGAGACAAATTCTCACTTCGCAAAGATTGAGTGGCTTGGAGACTCTCTGATAATTTATTGAACACTAATGTTATATGACTTTCACAATAGACTATGTTAGGTAAGGATAGCTAGAAAACTGAGAAATACATAAAAAAATCTTACTTCCCTCTTTTCTCAAACATAATTTTAATTTTAAAAGCTCTTAGTCTGCTTCCACAAATCTGCAGTGTTGTGTTGTGGAAAAAGTCCAAACCAGGCTGTCTGAGAGAGATTTCTGTTCCAGGGAAGCTTCTATGTATCTGTAGCACCCTCAGGAGATTACTTAACCTCCTTGAACCTCAGTTTCCACATCTTCAAAATGAAGAAGTTGAATGTGATAACCACTATTAGGGCTTATAATTCTACAATTCCATTATTCTAATTTAATATCTTACTTGAAAACCTATTCTTAAATAAAGAACAATTTAGATGTGTATATGAAAGAGAGGAGCCGGCCCTACCATACTTCCTGAATGAGGCAATTCTGACACCATCTTGTACTCTTAAGAAAGAATTGATCAATCAAGGAAAGAAAAACCAGTCAGGCCTTACAAAAGCATCAGGGAGGTACAAATAAATCAGAAAAGTGACTTGATAGAGGGAAATACATAATTCACTATAAAATTTCCACATATTATTCTTTTTGTTATAGGCATTTAATGCCATACTTTGAGTTAAGTATCTGTTGTTTTTCTGCGTGTAAGGAACAAGAACTTTATAACGAAATTATAGCATATAAATGAACATTTTAAAAATATTTATTAACTTATGTATCCAGAACTGGGGTATAGACCAGAGGTGCTGAGAGATTTACCAGAGACAGAATGGGGAGCAGAACAGGCAGATCAGTACACTGTTGAGGGGAGCGGTAGGCAGGACATGAGAGGTCTGCTGCACCTTGTGGGTCAGCTCCCTAGTCAGCGATCAAACTAAAGCTGAAGCAGCTGCAGCTAGCTTCATAGTGCTGTGCTTTAAACCGTCACGCCACCAGGGAGGGCCCAGAAACTCTATTTTTATTTTTTAAGGGAAGTTAAGTGGAGTTTTCAATGCATGTTGGAGGTTAATCATCCTACTTTTTATTTTTGGTTTTTGATTATCATGCTAAAGATAATCAAATGCCCAAGGATTTTCATTACTGATTCACAACTTTATAAACATGTAAAACAATGTTTTATATGTGTGTTTCTCATAATGCCTGGAACAGTGTATACCACATAATAAATATTAATAAAATATAATTTTTTTTTTAAATCATTAACTTTTACTTAAAATATAAAACACACAGGCTTTCCCTGTTGGCACAATGGGTTAAAGGACTGAATTAGGAAGCTCTACAAAGCCACTGCAGCACAAGTTTGATCCCTGGCCAGGGAGCTGACCCACATGGCATGGTAGACCTCTTTTGGTCCACCCGCTGCTCCCCTCAGCAGTGTACTTTGTTTATCTGCCTATTCTGCTCCCCACTCTGTTGCTGCTGAATCCTGTCACTCACCACACCTCTGGCCTGTACCCCAGTTCTGTAAGCAAAAATAAATAAATCTTTAAAAAATATGTAAGACACACTATGTTTTGTACTTGACAATCAAGTGAGTTGGTATGAAAATATTCATCAATACAAAAAAACTATCCTAAAATTAATGAACTTATATTGTTTTATGATTAAAAAGACACACCTATATGTAATATGTTATTTGTTAAGAAATAGAGCAAAGAAAATGTTTCTACTTTAGGTTAACATTTGGGAAATTGAGTTTAATAGTCCATATCTTAAAAATAAAAATCAGAGGCCCTCCCTGGTGGCGCAGCGGGTTAAAGCACAACACTAAGAAGCTAAAGCCACTTCCGCATGAGTTCAATCCCCGCCTGCCCTGGAGGTGACCACATGGTGTGGCAGACCTCTCCTGACCAGCCCGCTGCTCCTCTCAACAGTGTTCTTCGTCAGTCAGGCTGTTCTGCTCCCCACTCTGTCTCTGGTGAATCCTCTCACCCTCCACATCTCTGGCCTGTACCCCAGTTCTGTATGAACAAATAAATAAATCTTTTAAAATAAATAAATAAATAAATAAAAATCAGAAAATAAGTGACTACCAAATTTTTATTTTTGCTGCCAGGTCAAAAATAACTATGAATTGAATATTAACTGCTCAGTATAATAATGATATACACTTCTGAACAATAGTTGATATTAATGAAAAAATAAGTAATAAATAGGAAAAAGAAGTAAAAAAAACAGAGGTAATGACTGCTAGTAGTACAAATGCTTACTTTTTACTGAAATTTTCTGAGATAACTACAGGCTCAGTACTATTACATTTTTCTGATGAATTGATCTGTGTATTTCAATGACTCATTATTTATTTTTTTATTCCCATTAGAATGGGATTCATTTTCATTTTTATCTTGTTTATAGAGTAAAACTTTCATTATTTTAATTAATAGTTCTATTATACATTCCCCTCAAACTTTTAATTTCCATTTATCTTCCAAGACATTGTTCAAAGTTTTATCTATTTTCTTCTTTCACTTTCTCTCCTTTTTAATTTTGTATACACTTACTTCTATATTCTGTCATAATATAATATACTTTATGTATAGTATTATTTTATTTTTTAAAGTTTTGCAATTAGCTAATTTACTTATTTTTATAAATCTTCATAGTAGATTTCTTCATAGCATGTTTTGTGACTTTTTTTCATATTAGCTTATCTTATGCAAAACATGTGGCTACTATGGGAACTTCATGCATCTTGGTTTTTAAAGTATCTCTACAGAGAGGTTGCCTTAGATTTTAACAAGCACCAGAGATCTATCAATGACCAGAAACCAATTCCTACATTGATTCTCAGCATGAGGTTTCTTACAATACATAAGAAGTGTAAAGTAGAATACCAATTAATCCGAAACATAGGCATGGAATTTTGAATTCTAGAATATGCTTTGTGTCATCAGAGTCAAGACAAAGGTTAGCTCAATAATGGCTGTTCACAGACTGTCTTTCCGTTGCAGCTGGAAGGCAAGTCTGGTGACACACACGGTACCCTGAAAACCACTCCCATCACTGCCCACCTGCCTCCGCCTCAGCCAGCATGGCCTCTGCTCTGCCTCGCAGCTACCTTTCTGCTTCTGGAGCACGATGGCTTTCCTTTTCTGAATACTTGACAGGTCGAGTCATTCTCATATATTTGTTTAATCCTAGACATAAAAGGTAAAAGGTTCACAATGTTAATATAGTGAATTATTTTATAAAATATTAACCTTTACAAATGAAACAGGATGTGGGTAAAGGACAGTAGTGGTAATAAACTGCTGAACAGTACAAATGGCCAAGTAAAATGAAACATTCTATCTCATTTATAGTCACACAAATACAATTTAAGACGCTATTGGTTTAGTCTTCAAATATTGAAAAGACTTAAAAAAGATAAAGAACCTGGGTGCTTATATAATGCACAATTGTGGAAAAATGTTTGACTAGGTATGCAGGATGCTTCAAATACTCATAACTAACTATTTCAGTTTTTCTAGTATTTTTTTATTGAGGAAAGAATCAGGTTTACCTGTGAAATTTTCATTGGAATATTACTTATGATATATTAAGGGTTAAAAACTCCATAACTAACCAATTGTGAAGAACTGGTAAAAAAGAATTATGTGATATCTAATTAATGGTGGAATTAATAGTTATTAAAAATGAAATGATAGACTACATGTTGACATGGGAAAATATTAATTTTTTAAGACTGGCACTAAGCAGTGTGTCCTTAGATATTTTAAACATTTCTTATTTTATGTGCAAAAGATAAAATTTATACACTTATTTACTAAAAATATGGATGAATATCCTAAAATTGACATGTAAGTTTATAAATGGAAAACAAAAATTTAACTATTTCTTTTTTATTTAAAGATTTACTTTTTTATGCATACAAGAACTGGGGTGCAGGCCAGCAGTGTGGAGGGTGGTGAGAGAATCCACCAGAGACAGAGTGAGGAACAGAACAGTCTGGTGGACCAAAATACACTTCTGAGGGGAGCAGAAGGCAGGTCAGCAGAGTCACTTCACTGGTTGGGGATCAAACATCTACTGTAGTGGGCTGCAGAGAGCTTAATAGTTCTGAGCTTCAACTCATTGTGCATGGGTTGGGCCAAAATTTAACTGTTTCTAAATCAGTCTACTATATGCATTCAGTCCAGTACACTGGTTTGAAGCTACCCAAATTCCATCTTTGTCATACTCTTTATTTCACTGACCAAGCAATCTGCACACCGACTGTGAATTAGCAAAAGCAGCAAAAGCAGTCATTGTTTACTCATTTGTCAGGTCTTACTCAAAGATCATAACACTCAGTAGAAATGTATATAATTTAACAAGTAAATAAATAAAATTAATAAATAAACAAATTTTCAAAATGATGATGTTACAGTTAGCTTTCTATAGGGTAATGACAGTTAAAAAGGCAAAATAAAAAATCAAAGTGAAGTAGTCACTGTATTAAAACACTGCAGTGAAATATATTGCTATGGTAATATTCTAAAAATCATATCCAATTTTTCATAAATAGATATTTTAAATGAAGGATATTTTGAAATGTTATGTTTAACCTTTATAGATAAGGTTTGGATTTGTGCAGGCTATTAGTAAAACTCAATAGAAATAAAAATATTTGACTAAGTTAAAGAAGAATTTCAATTTATATGCACACAATTCATTGCTCTAAAATCCATTTCAACCAAAGAATTTAACTGGGTTGCTTCTGCTAATGGCTCTTCAATTTATGCTTTTTGAAACAACTCATAGGAAAAGAAAGAATAGGAACATTTTCAATGCATTCAATACTCTACTTCTATTCCCAACCTTCCTAAGCTTCATCGTAAGTGGGTAACAAAGGGGACTCTAAATGATCATTGTTAATGTGCTTACCCCACATATGTATACAATCATAAAAACAGCCCAGAAAAATAAACAAAGACAAGATAGAAAAATCCTTTAGAATCAAATTTTATACTATACATGTGGCATTGTATACATATATAGATATGTATAAAGGTTAGTACCTTCTTGCTCTACTTTTAAGAATTTTATCCCACACTAAGAAATCAGGAAGTTATGTTGGTATAAATCTATGGTACAACATTATCACCCTATTTTAAAAATGACATCAAATTTAAATAATATATCAGGTAAATCTGAAGAGGAAGCCTTGAGATTTAATAGGTATGAGTGACCTTGAAGAAAACACACAGCCTTGCTAGGGTTTTAGGTTATTATCCCAAAGTTCTTTTCAGTATTCAAAAGCACAGATCCATATTTCAGTCCAAAATGCTGCTACAACATAAAGATAATTATACTTATCAGAATTTGGTGTCAAATTCTTCTGAATAAATGGTGTACATTTTTTAATCAATTCAAAATCTCTGATTTGGGGATTTAATACCAGTGATTGCTATTTATTTCTTCAGGTTAGTACTCATCACATAAAAATCATATTTCCACTTGAGTTTGTCTTCCCTTTATAAAATCTTCTCCCAAGACAGATAAAATCCTTCTGAGAGCACCAACAGCCAAACCCGGGCTCATAACCCAGAGATAAAACACTCTTTATAGCAGCATTCATTAAGGTACTAGACAGAGTACAAAAAGCAGCAACAGGGAGCTTTCCCCTAAAAGCTTTTAATACAACTCTTTCCAAGAGCCATTAAATCGGCCCAGCACTAAAGCCTCTGGCCACCCCCATCTATTGATCCCCTTCACTATGGAGTCCCCTACTCTATCCAAGTAAAGTCTGAAGTAATTTATGTCTGATGAATAGCTCACCAAAAAGTTACTAGCACAAAGCAGCAACAACCAAACTCTCAGTGAAGTAGTTGTGACTACTGTCTATGAGTTCCTGAAATCTCTGCAAATATAAATGTTTTATAAATCCCTTTCCCTTCATTTCCATTTGGTTTACCCAAACAGCACCTACTAACAGGTTAACATTTATTGAATACATACTACACTAAGGTGTTTTAAACATTAATTTTATTTCATCCTTATAAAAGCATGATGGGCATTTCCCCCCATTTTGTAGACTGAGGACAGTAGTAAGAGTTTAAATAACCTTGTAGACTCTCAAAGTCATTTTTCTTCATAGTATCCCAAACTGTTGTTATTTGTCCTCTTTGCTGGTGATCACTTATTATGAAAAAGTCAAAATGTTGTAGATGGGAAAGGATCTCTGTGTATGTGTGTGTAACATCAATTACATGGCATATTAAGCATGACAAACAATCATATAGAAAGCTTCCATAAACTTGAAATATTTTTTCTTTTGTGAAAGGAAGTTTAATAACTTTTCTTTAAATCTGATAGATCTGTTTTTTTATTATTTTGAGATAATTTTATTATACGCATGTATAGCATACATATAGTAATTGAGCATATGCATTTGAACTATAGTATATTTAACTATAGAATTGTTTCAGGTTTAGATATAGAATATTTCTAGCAGCTATTTTAAGGTTACATTGAGGTTTAAGAATAGCAAAACGAATTGATGGTAATAAAAGTCAGCAGGCTTTTAAAATATTTTGTCACAATATAATTGGTAAAATTTTGATGGTTACTAAGCATCTTACTACAAAGTATTGTAAAAATTAGTATTCATTTGAGCTAATACACTATATATCTATAAAACCTGGTACACATAAACTATAAACCTGGAATAAACTGAGTGTGAGTCAACAAATGAGAATGCAAAGCTTCCCTCTTACAAATTGTAGAAGTACTTCTCTTTCTTAAGAAACCTTTTTCTTAGTGACAGGTGACCAACTCACCTAAATCAAAAAAGAAGAGGATATGAAAACAAAGACAACCTACATATTAAATATCAGTAAATGAATACATATCTTTCAATTTTAAGATGGAACTACAAGGAGAATTATTTTTTTCCTATTTGGTAATTTAGTACAATATGGGAATATAGACACACCTTTTGGGGGGGGATGACTCAGCTCCATCCCTCATTAAGGGGGGAGGGGAGGGAAGCATAGCCCCTCCTCTAATTCTTGCTTATGCTATATATGAGACTCCTGAGACCACTGAGAACTGAAGCCTTATGACGACTGTTGCCGTTGAATACCTAGGGCAGACTATGAATGAAAGTCAGGAGGTCACCATTGTTTTAGACTGGTGATGAATAGCTGACAGAATAAAACAAGCGCAAATCAGAATACTCAGGACTCTCAGTCAATCGGCAGTGAAGGGACTCATAAACAATGAGATACCCTATTCTGATATTTCTAAGCACAACAAAATCCCACTATTATTAGCCTGTAGGAAAATAAGACTCAACACTGACACAGTTCTTCAGTAATAGTCATTTAGAATTTTTTAAATAACACTTTTGTGAAAGATCAGATTTCTTATAATATTCTTCCAGATTATTGATTCACAGGGAAATGGGATCAAGATTGCAAGATTAGAAACAGCAATTAAATTCATGTTCAAGGGCCCTCTCTGGTGGCCAATGGGTTAAAGCACAACATTGAGAAGTGAAAGCCACTTCAGCATGAGTTCGATTCCCGCCTGGGAGGTGACCCACATGGCGCCCGGCAGACCTCTCCTGACCCACCCACTGCTCTTCTCAGCAGTGTACTTCGTTAATCAGCCTGTTCTGCTTCCCACTCTGTCTCTGGTGTAGCCTCTCACCGCCCCTGCACCTCTGGCCTGTACCCCAGTTCTGTATGCATAAATAAATAAATCTTTAAAGAAAAACTCATGTTCAAACAGCTCTAACCACATACAAGTCCACTATATTCAGCAACACTATGGGTTAATTGCTGAATCACTGAGATGTTCCTGATGGTGCCATAGGTGACGTTGCATGGTAATATCCTTATAGCGTCCACTAACATAAGTAATGAAGCTTTTTTTAAATTATTATTTGCATCTCAAAAGGAAAAGGAAAAAAAAAAACTATCACTTTTATAAGTGTATTAAACTGAATAGGAATGAAATGCTAAAGGAAAGGCAAAAATATATCTTTAAAATGCAATGCGAGTAGTTCTTTTTTTTTCTGTAATCAATAGTAAAATCATTTTTTTTTTACTAACTAGAAAACAATTAATACCTTAAGAAAAAGAACATATCCACATCCAATACAGACATTTAAAATAATAAATGAGGTTGGGGGACTTCATCTGCTACTTGG